TGTTTTAAGTAAAAGTTCCCAGTGATTCTCTTTATCTTTGCGATTTTTGTCGCTCCAACTGGCATTATGGTCAATTGCAATCACTCTGAAATTTGAAATTGAATGACCAGCTAAATTGAAATGTTCGTCTACTGGTTGATCAGGCTTAGATGTTCTGATAGCTGATCTATGTTGTGTCATTCTCGGAGAGTTTTTTTTGTTTCTCCGACATATTGTTTACCACAAATATTACAATATATGAGATAAATGACATTTTTGGTGGGGCAATTAATTGATTGCCTTATCTGAAATATGTGGTTTGTTTGGTTGCTCTTGAATGATTGTGTAGAATCAAGCAATGAGCATGTTTTGCATGATGAACCACAAAGTTGACTACCCAAATTATGGTTGTCGCACTCTGGTCGATCGTTGACGTGGTTTGTACGTCAGTGTTTGAGCACGAGGTATGTCCTTTGCTTTTTTTTTTAATAGCATTTTCAATAGGTCCTCGATGATAATTTCTATTCCGGAGATGTCCGGATAGTTCTTCTGTTCGATTCTGAAAGTCTAAATCCGAAGAACAAATGCGTCTCATATATATATACTGTACATAATATTAAAATCAGGTTTTTGTTATTTATATTCAGTACAGATAACGCTGAGGACGGACACAGGTGTCTCCAAAAAAGAACCCCACGTTTTTAAGAAAAGTGTATGTCTCTATTATATCTCTGTTATCGCCCCTCACATAAAACCCCTAAAATTATATACTATTTTCAAATAGGCCAACTATGTTGATGTTATTTAAAAAAAAATAAGATACAGGTAATTCTATTTTTTATTTTTTTTTTATTGTAAATCATTATTAACAATTCGAAAGAAACAATTAGTATTTGTTTCAATTTAAATAGTAATAACAATAAACTTACCTTGTGCGTGAACGCTGCACAACACGCATAGTAGGAATATTCCAAAAGTTTCAAACATTATGAGCAGGTTAGTTCGATAAAATAAAATCTCCTCGTAACATTTTTGATTCAGATTTAGGAATTCAATCTGGCATTTACTACCATAGGAATAACTTATATAATAACTAGGTGCTTACAGTTCAAACGATCAAATTTCAAAAAATGGGCGTTCACTTTGTGTTAAATAAACCGAAAGTTAAGCATTCGACCGAATAATCAACTAAAGAAGTGTGGAGAGATGTTCATAATATTCCTGGTTACAAAGTTAAAATTAAGCTTTATCATCTCATCTTCTAAACTGCATAGCAATTCTTACTCTTCTGGCAATGCAAAGACTGGTTTACTTAAAATCACTACACTGTCGCTACAGTGTTTTCAGCGCAATCGTTGAACTGCGTAGCAGTCCTCGACGCAATCAGGAAGGCTCCTCGATTCGACCGACCAATCAGTATCACTGAAAGCTGTCGGCGATAGCATGTAGCGATTGTATGGAA